ACCCAAATAAACAAGCTAGTAAATAAAATAGACTAGGTTGGCAAAGATGTAGAGAAAAATAGTACTCATTCTCTGACAGAGTATGAACTGTCACAGCTACTTTGCAGAACAATCTGACACTGTCTAGCACAAATGAAAATGCACATGCCTACAATGCAATGACTCAAATTCTAGACCTACGTCCAAACTCTTGTTCATTTGCTTGAGGTAACATGTACAAAATGTTCACTTCACAGAACAGAAAATAACCTACATGTTTCTTTTAAGAGGTGAAAGAAAAACATAGAACATGTTCTTATGAGAGAATTAACTGACTATACATAAAATATGGCTAGTTTCAAAATTATGTTGAGTGGGAGAAAAGGAGCAAGATTATACAAAATTATTTATTAATGAAAATGTTCTGGAATAGTGGCAACTAGGTTAACATGCTAAATCTTTTTGTAGTGCACGAATTATCTCAATTGAAAAAAATTCACTCAGTATGAAACTTTTCCTGTTGACTTTAAGAAGAAACTCTTCTTGTTGACTTTAAGATAGCATATACTGCTGGGGCCAGTGGCTCACTGCCTGTAATCCTAACTACTCAGGAGGCTGAGATCTGTGGATCATGGTTCAATGCCAGCCCAAGCAGGAAACTCCGTGAGACTCTTATTTCCAATAAACCACTAGAAAACTGGAAGTGGTGCTGTGGCTCAAGCTGTAGAGCGTTGGCCTTGAGCTGAAGAGCACAGGGAAAGCGCTACGGCCCAGAATTCAAGCTCCACGACCAACAAAAAATAAAGGAAAGATACTATATACTATTTGTAAACAATATGAATATCCAAGCCTATATTTAATAAAAGAAAGAAACAGAGAGAGAGAAAGGGAGGGAGGGGGGAGGGAGGGAGGGAGGGAGGAAGAAAAGAAGGAAGGAAGGAAGGAAGGAAGGAAGGAAGAGAGAAAGAGAAAGAAAGAAAGAAAGAAAGAAAGAAAGAAAGAAAGAAAGAAAGAAAGAAAGAAAGAAAGAAAAGAAAGAAAGAAAGAAAGAAAGAAAAAGAAAGAAAGAAAGAAAGAAAGAAAAAGGAAGGAAGGAAGGAAGGAAGGAAGGGTTAGGAAGCACTTGAAAATGTTAGCTGTATCTTTAATACTGAAATCCCTAAAGTCAAAACAAGCAATCAAATATGCCAAAATACAAACATGTCTTAGTAGTGAGGAACTGAATGTTTTGTTGTATTATTCTTTGTGCTGTCCTGTCCTTTTTTTTTTTTAATTCTGAGTAATAAAGTAGCCATGAATTACAAAGTGCATAGAACAGGTACAATGCAAAAAAGCAACTGGCAAATAAATAAATAAATGAAAAGCTATGTAGCAGTATTAATCAAATGAATGCATATTAAAATAGGTGGGCTTTTTTAATGCAGCAGATTAGGAAAGGTTAAAAAAACAAAAACTATTCATTCCTAGTCTTGGCAACTATGCAGGGAAATGAGCCATTTTTTTACCCCTGTGTAAGTATACCCTACAGAGTTCACACTTTGGGGAGGAAAATTTGATAATTCATACTAAAATATAAAATTGCATACTTTTTTGATGTAACTATCACCCTTTTGGAAAATTAGCACAAGGAAATTCTTGGAAAAAAGTCTTTAAAATGAATGCCAAGATGTCCATTACAGCATTAGTCATAACAAATTAACATTGGGAATAATACAAAGACCCAAATGAATTGCATTGAGTCCATATTCATATAACACTATGAAACAGCATTGCAAAAAGATAGTATTACGAACACAAGGATAGAAACGTTATCTATAAAACTTCTAGGAAACTTCTGTCCCTCTATTTTTGTGGTTTGATTTTTCTATAATGCATATATATCTATTAACTAGAAAAAAAGATTATTTGCACTTTAAAAGATGAATATATGAAAGTTTTTTGAGGGTTGTTCTTTGGGGGTGAGGGTGCATGCATGCCTGTCTAGTACTAGGGCTTAACCTCAATGCTAGGGCCAGATTATTCTCCCTTAGTTGTTTTTTTGTTGTTATTAGGGGGTGTTATTGGTGCTTGTTCTCAGGCTTGAACTCAGTGCCAGGGCTCTGTCCCTGAACACTTTTGCTCAATGCTAGTGTTCTACTACAGGAGCCACAGTTCCACTTCTGGCTTTTTTTTGGGGGGGGGGTGTAGTTATTTGGAGATAAGATTTTCCTGCTGTTGGTAGCTTTGAACCACGATCCTCAGATCTCAGCCTCCTGAGTAGCTAGGATTACAGATGTGAACCACTGGCATCGATTTTCCCTTAGCTTTTTCTGCCTAAGGCTGGTGCTCTACAACTTAAGCCACACTTCTGTTTCTGACTTTTTTGGTGATGAATTGGATATTAAGGTATCTCAGAATTTTCTGCCCAGGGTGGCTTCGACCCAAGGTCTCAGTGCAAGGAGTGAGCCACCAGTGCCAAGCATATATGAGTTTTTCATAAAGATTACATTGTATTAACGTCACAGGTAATTTCCCAATTTCTAAGGTATACCTTTTGAAAACTGCACCCATGAAGAGATAGACAGAGAGAGAGAGAGAGAAAAGGAAAAAGAGAGGGAGAAGTAGTTGGGATCATCTGTAATAGTAACAAAATAAAAAAGAAAGAGGCCAAGTTGGGTTAAAAGACAACACAATTGAGGGAAACTTCAAAACTCCAAGAGAAAGAACAAAACCTCTTTAAGGCAAAATTATTAACCAATTGAGAACTCTGCCCTGCCTACCTTTCTGAGAGTTCTAGAGAGGCTAGCTCAAAATGATGATGAAAAAGACTTCTGCAAAATACAGACAACATACCATGGAGGCACATAGTATAAATGACATCAAATATGACTCAAATTTGGGTTAGCCTTCCTTGAAAAATGAATTTTGACAAGTGTTACACTGGAATATTAGGGAACAATTGCTCTTCCTTTTTTGGTTAAATGGGTATTTTTATTAGCAACAATAATTTTAGAAGAACTAATTTTAATGTATTTATCGGACCATTTATCTGTGTAAAATTATACTTTCTGCCAGAAGTTCTCAAGAATGTAGTCTGAGGATTTCAATATCCCTAAGACCTATTCAGGTAACTGACAAAATTTAAACTATTTTCTTAAGCTGAGCACCAGTGGCTCACGCCTGTAATCTTAGCTACTCAGGAGGCTGAGATCTAAGGATACTGGTTTGACACCAGTCCTAGCAGGAAAGTCCATGAGATTCTTATCTCCAATTAATCACAGAAAAAAAAAAACAGAAGTGGTACTGTGGCTCAAGTGTTACAGCACTAGCTTGAGCAAAAGAAGCTCAGTGCCCAGTCCCATAATTTAAGCCCCCAGACCAGCAAAAAA